CGGGCTGATGGGAGGTGTGGGGAAGCCACCTGCCAAGGAAATGACAGCATCGAAGCCGGGGAAGTTTCTGAAGGACTGAGCCTGGGAAGAGAAGCCACAGAAGGGCGCTGAGGGCCCCCAGCGGGCGAGAGAAGAGGCAGGCTGACAGGTGCAAAGACAGAGAGGTGGGGGCAGACCACGCAGGGCCAGGGCCACAGGGGGGTTGGCTTTTATTTTGTCCCCTGGGGTCCATCAAATGGCGCTGGGCAGGGGGTGGTTTTTAACCGGAAATGACAATTGTCAGCTCTTCATCAGTGAGCATCCATTGTGCCCACTGTCTTGTATTGACTCCCTGTTCCTCCCCACTAGGCACACCCTCTAGCTTCCGGTGGTGGTGGTGGCCAGGGAAGTCGGGGGTCAGGGGCGGGGGGATTGTATCAGGTTGGGGAAGAAAGGCATCAGGAAAGGCACAGAGAAGAGGCAGCATGGAAGGTTCTGTCCACTCTGCGAGTGGGTCTGGGCTCTGAGTGAAGCTCCAGGCTGGCCAGGGTCACTCAGATGACCAGTGACAGAGAGGAAGGACGCCTGGCCCAAGAGCTCACAGCCCCACGAAGTGACCGCACGTCCCTGCTGATGCCATACAGGAGGGTAGTCCAGGCTGCGCAGGCAGCAAGGGTGAGCAGTTTATTTCTTTGGAAAGCATCTGTCTGGACAAGCTGTGCATAGAACAGGGTATTTGAGTTGGGGTTCTGAAGGATGTATAAGAGTTGATAGGAAAGACGAGTACTAAAAATGGGAAAGGAAATTTCAAGGAGAGAAAACAGTGAGGGAAATTACCATAGAAATCGCCACCCAGTTTTACTGAGCAACTCCTCCAGTCCCTCACTGAGTTAGGTGACCTCCGCAGGTCACATCATGCTTGTTCTCCAGGTGAGGGGACGTGGGCTTGGACAGGTCAAGGGGCTTCCCTGAGGGCGCACGGAACTTTGCTGTGCTCTGTTGCCTGGGATGGCAGGGAAGGGCATCGAAAGAGGTCATTTAGGGTGACCCTGGGAAGGGGTTGCTTAGTGTGCTACCCTAGGGACCTTGCTTGCCTCACCCTTTTCGAGGCCCTGGGGCCCTGGAGGAAAGGCGGCTGGAGGGTGGCTGGAGCAGGTGGCCCATGAAGCCCGGGCGAGGAAGGAGCTTGTCTGATACCTGTAGGAGCCTGAATCTTGATCCTGCGGGCACTGGGAGCCACGGAGGGCTTTAGGCAAAAGTGGAACACCATCAGTGGGGCGCCTGGGTGGCTCAGTCGGTTGGGCGTCCAACTTCGGCTCAGGTCATGATCTCACAGCTTGTGAGTTCGAGCCCCGCGTCAGGCTCGCTGCTGTCAGCCCGCTTCAGATCCTCTGTCCCTGTCCTCTCTCTCTCTCTCTCTCTGCCTCCCCAACCTGTGCTCTCTCTCTCTCAAAAATAAATAAACATTAAACAAAGGAGAGGAACGCCATCCGCCGGGTTTGAGGCTGGAGAGGAAAGCCAGCAGTGACCTCTGGTTTCACCTTCCCATTCCTTGGATGCACAGGTGCTTAGAGCTGGGATCCTCAGGGGGCCCCTTCATCTCACTTTGGGGCATTGGGGGGGTGCTTCTCGCCCCTCCCCACCGTGTGACCGTGGCGATGCTGTAGGGCACCCAGACAGGAGGATGTGGTTGTCAGGGAACCAGCCAGGACCATGAGAGCCTTAATTATGCAAAATCATTCAAAAAGAACCAGGAGATTTCTGGGGATTCAGACCCCCCCACCCTGAACAAAATTAGGGCGGGGGGGGGGGGGAGAGGTGGGATTCATCCCGTCTCAGTGACAGGGGCTCTGGGATGCGTTTCTTTAAACTCGTGGCAGCAATAATTACTGTGAAATGTCCTTTGTGACTCCATCAATTAGAAGGGAGACACCCCCCCCCCCCCCGCCTTATGTGTTCCCCAGGCCCGGGGGGGGGTGCTGCTCGCCCAGGGTGGGGGGGAGGGGCGGGCGGGGACACTCGGTGACCTTTTGACAAAAGAATAGCGGTATCAGAAGTGTTTGGAAAATAAAAAGAACTCCTAGGTAAGACCCGTCAGTGTCCCTTCCCCTTGATCACGTGTAACGCTGGTCCTTTTGTGCTTAGAAAGCCCTCAGAAATGCCCGGTGTGGCCAGAACTGAGGTTACACGGGGCCGTTTGGTGTTTCTGTTCTCAGCTATTGATTAGGGCGCCCGCCCAGCCTTTGACCTTTGTGGCGTCTTGCTCCTTGAAGCTGGCAGGAGACACAGCCCATGGCTCTGTGTAGACACTCCTCTGACTTGGGGCCCCACCCACCCACCTACCCCACAGGACGTGCCAGACGCCCCGCGCGGGGCAGGGGGGTGAAGCGAGCTGGGCCAGCCCTGGTGGATTGGCCGGAGAAACCTCCAAAGTGGGCATGGGGTGCAAGGGGCCCCTCAAAGTTGGGGTGCAATAGACCAACCCCGTTTTATGCCTGTATAACTCCCCTTCTGTTCCGACCCTTCGGGGCACAAATGCTAATTCAGTCAAGAGGGGGTTCCTGCCTCGAACCTGGGGAGGAATGGGGGCGGGGGGGGACACCTAGGTCCCTGCTGATTGTTTGGGGTCGCTCTTCTCTGAAACCCTCTGCCCTGCTCCTCTCAAATACAGGTTTATACCCCTCTTCATTTAAGGAAAACACACCGTCTCAGCACTTCAAGTAGGAAATTAAGTGCTGAAATTTTACAAATGCTTATCCCTGCCAGAAATGAAGGTGTCAGAGGCACAAAACATTGATTATGTGAGACGCGAATCAGAAATCGGAGGTTTTACGAGCGCCTGGGTGGCTTAGTCGGTTACGCATCTGACTCTTGGTTTCAGGCTCAGGTTATGATCTCAGGGTTTGGGTGTTCAAGCCCCACATCAGGCTCTGTGTTGCCAGTGTGGAGCCTGCTTGGGATTCGCTCTCTCCCCCTCTCTCTGCCCCTCCCATGCTCTCTCTCTCTCTCTCTCTCAAAATAAATAAGATAAGATAAAATAAGAATTCAGAGGTTTTAGAGGTTAAAGGTGACGTGCCAGGAGGTCTCCTTGCCCCTGTAGGGAGGTGAGTCCTGGAGAAACCCACACCTCGCCATGCATCCTTTTCTCCTGCCCCCATGGCCTATGGGATGACTCCTTCCCTTGGCTCACGGCGCCTCACTCACTCCTTTCTCCGTCCATGTGACCTTCCACGTGTCCCTGTCTCAGGCCCTTTGCACATGCTGTTCCTTCTGCCTGGAGTCCTCCTCTCTCAGCACCTACACTGTTCTCTGCCTCACTCCATTCAGATCTCTGCTCAGATGCTCTTCCCCCCTGGGCGCTGTCCATCCAGGTCACCAGCTCCTATCCATCTGTCTCCTTTAGTTCTCTTCTCTGCCCTCATCACCGCCTGACGGTGTAGCATGTAGTTTTCCTGCCTGTCTCTGCGAGAATGTTGGTTCCAGGAGACTCACTGCTCTCTGTGGCATCTCAGGGTCTCAGACAGTGCCCGGCACACGGTGGGCGCTCGGTGTGGACTGGGTGTCTGAGAGAATGAATGGATGCATCGGACGCAAGAGCATCTGGCTGGCATGAAATGTTTCCAGCCACCGTGCAGAAGGGAGCTCGGCAAGAGCTGCGTTTCTGGGAAAGACAGGAACAGGAGTGAGATCGGGGGTCCCGGATGGGGGGACAAGGGGCCGGAACAGACCTGGGAAGTGGGACATGCATGGGATTTGGGGACTGGGAGGGGCTGGCGGGGAGGGCACTCTTGTGAGCCTCCAGAGACATGTGCTCAGCTCTCTGCTTCCGTGTTTCAGGTGTGGGGACTCAGGGGCCAGCAGACAGAGTGGCCACTCAGCCGGTGTCCGTGGGGACAGCTAGAAAGGTTGTCAAATGTCTAAATCCTTCCAGACTGGCTGGTAAAGAGGTGTTGGCCTCCCACTCTGTCCTTCCCCGTGACCCCGGGCCCTTCCGTGGCCCAGCTCCTAAGGAGCTAATAATGCTTGGTTGGCTTGGTTGGCTAAGGTGACGCTTGGGTAATGCCTGGTCCCCACCAGGGGACTCTGCTCCAGCACCAGGGCCACTGTGGGATCTGATTGGCCAGCGAGGGTGTTGCTGGGCAGACTGGTGGGGCAGCCAGCAGTAGACTGAGCCCCGAAGAACCTGTCCTGCTGGGTGGGAACCTCCATGTGCCCCAAAGGCCCTGTCCTCAGGGGCAGCAGGGAGGGGACGTTGCCTGGGGGGCCCCTCACTGTGCACTCTGTCCCAGAGTGGGATCATCCAGTAGGGGCGGCAAGCTGTCGCCTTCAGGAGCCCGGGAAGCAACTTCCTGCGTGGAACACCTTGTCTGAGATGCCGGGAGGTGGGTGGCGGGCAGCTGATGGGACTCAGGCTTCATCTGTGGCAGCGAGATTGGATGTAGCCGCGATCCCCGTAGCAGCCAGACAAAACGTGGCTGCCCGCGGGGCTCAGCCGTGAGTGCCTGGTGCACCGTGAGCAGAGGCCCCGGGCCGCAAGCAGGGCCCAGCCTCCTCCCCGACGCTGCCCAGCACGTGCGTGAACATCAGGACGCCAGTAGGTGGCAGCAGAGTGCGGCCCAGCGCGTGTCCCTCTGGGTTCAAATCCCCACTCGGCCACTTTCTTCTAGCTCAGTGCCTCGGGCGTGGTTTTTAGCCATCCATGCCTCAGTTGTCCCGGCCATGAAATGGGACTGATAGTGGTACCGACCAGATGTTTTATCAGGGGATCGGACGAGGTGATGCACGGGACGGGCTGTGCGCAGAATCCGGCTCAGAGAGTAAATGCTCAATAAACGTGGTTCCGAAAGCTGCCCCTTCCCTCCTCGGAGGGTCGGTTCGGGGCCACGGCCTGACAGGTATTTAGCCTCAGGCTTGATGAGTGAATGAATGGCCGTACAGCGAGAGCCCAGGACAGAAACAGAGTCTTCTGTTGTTCTGATCCGCGGGGCCCGGTGACGGCAATCGATTCTCTGTCTCCACAGTGTTCGAAGAGCCCGAGGACCCCAGCAACCGCTCCTTCTTCTCCGAAATCATCTCCTCCGTGTCGGACGTGAAGTTCAGCCACAGTGGCCGATACATGCTCACCCGGGATTACCTCACGGTCAAAGTCTGGGACCTTAACATGGAGGCAAGGCCCATCGAGACCTACCAGGTGGGTGCCACGGCCGGAGCCCCTCTGAGGGGTGGGAGACCCCCCCCCCCGGCCTCCGCCTCCTGTGCCCAGAACTCCCAGGAGGGGCGTCCCCGCTGCAGAGGTGGCTTCCATACGCCCCATATGAAGGCTCAGGAAATCGGAAAGCCTGTCCCCAATCACACACCTCGGCCCAGGCCTGCCTTCCAGGCGGGGGTGGGGGCAGTGCCGTCCCCTTGCCGGCTCCTGCCGTCGGGGCCCAGGGGGACAAGGGTGAGCGACAGGCGAGGCCCGGTTTGAGGGTGCAGATGATGAAGGATGAGGTCGCCCCTCCTGGAGCCCGCGTCTGCAGTTAAGGCGGGAGAAGCCCCGTCCTCTCCCGGGGAGCACCCCTCCTTAGCGCGGGCGGCGGTGACTGGGAGCGTGCTACGTTTCTCAGTCCTCGGCACGGGCCTCGCAAGTCAGGCCCTTGGGCCGAAGCGTGGGGCACCTTCCGGAAAGTTACGACTTTTTATTTTTCTGTTAAGATCCACCCAGATAGCGTCGGGGGGTGGAAAACAAAGTTCGCACGATGTTAAGTAAGACCCCACGGGAATGGGGCCAGGGTTCTCTCTATCCCATTGTATTTGGAGGAAGTTGAGTTAAATGGCAGACCTGCAGGAGTAGGGAAGCTAGCCAGCCGCAGACCTGGGATTGCGGTCTTTCCCCGGAGCCCCTGCTCTTCCTTGCTCTGCCACCAGAGGGCAGGAGGCGCTCACTTTGCAGGAGAGGGCGGGTGAGAACAGCGTGCGTGCATGCGTGCGTGTTGTGTGTTCGGACGAGTGCATCAGTGAGGCCGCTCTGACTGCGCGGGGAGCACACACAATGCAGACCTGGGGGGGCTGCCCATGAGCCCCTGGGAATCTGTCCGTGGCCGGCATGAAGCCAGGCACCGTGTATCCCCAGGCATCTAAGGGGTTACACCTATTTGGCAGGTGCTCTGTGTCTGGCTAGACCCTGCGCCTCAGAGAGAAGTGGCAGCCGCAGCCTTGCCCTCCAGGGTCCCGCGCGACAGCGACCCTGGGTGCGGTGCGGCTGTGGACCAGGGGGCTCCCTGGGAGCGGAGGCTCCTGGAGGCAGGCACCTGTCTGAGAGAAATAGCCGTGCCCTCCCGCGTCTCTCCCCTGGCTCCACTCTCTCCTCCACAGCCCCTGGTGCCTCTCACGTGTGTGTTCGTAAGCCTGCCTCCCAAGCTCCTCCGGGGCTGCCTTTGCGCCTGTCACCGGGGGCCTCCCCGGGGACTCACAAGCAGTCAGGGGTCCTCTGCTCAGCCTCATCCGTGCCTGCTTCCCGTCAGAGGCAGTCTGGGGCTGTAATGTGCCCTGGGCGTCACTCCTCCTCCAGCCTCGGCCCAGACGAGGCCGCGCGGGCTCCCGTGGAGGCAGGTGCTGTTCCCCACCCGTCACGCTCACCACGGGAGGAGGGCGAGAGTCCCTGACCCAGTGGCTCCATCCCAGGCTTGGGCCAGTGATCCCTGCCTCAGGCTTCCCTCCCTCCAGGTCTTGGAGACACACAAGACCAGTGCCCCCACCCCCCACCTCCTCTCTTGGCTCCCACGGCAGCCTCGAGGGGCATCCATTCCAACCGGAAGGATGGCCAGAGACCAAGGAAATGCACAAATGAAATAATCACAGGCTGCAAATGAAACAAACCAGGAGCTGAGGCAGAGAAAGGAGGAGTGCTGGAGTCTGACGGAAGTGAGGGCGTCAGTCGTCGGGGGCGGGGGCAGGGAAGGCGCTCCCAGGGGCGGAAACAGCAAGTGCAAAGGCCCTGAGGCGGGCACGTGGTTCATGCGGTCAGGAAATGGTGGGGGGCCAGCTGGAGCACAGTGAGCAGGGGGAGAGAAGAAGAGTCTGAGGTCAGAGAGGTGACTGGGGGCAGAGTCTAGGGGGCTTGTGAGCACTGGAAGGTCTTGAGCAGCAGAGTGACATGGTCCAGCTTGGTTTCTTAGGGGTCTCTCGGGTTGCCCGTGGAGACAGACTGGGTCGGGGGGCACAGAAGCGGGGAGCAGTCAGGAGGCATTTGCAGTGAGCTGGGAGACGGTGGTTCGGGGCAGGGAGCAGCACAGGACGTGGTGAGTGGCAGCTGGGTTCCAGGTCGCTTTGGATTCTGCTTCTGGACTGGCTGCATGTGGGGTGTGACCGACGAGCGGTGTGGAGAGGGCTGCTGTTGTTTGTGGCCTTTGTACCGGGAAGGATGGGGGACCGGGGCGGGGGGCTCGCAGGGGGCAGCCTCGAGGGGCCTCTTGCCCGCCCCTGTGGCAGCTCGATGGTCCGCTGTGCGCCCCAGGGAGACAGGTCCCGCTGGAGGGGAGCATCCACACGTCGTCGGAGTGTGGAGGGCATCACACAAGAGTGCAGGCGGCGGTGGGAACGGAAGGGCCGTGGAGCCCGCTCCGTGGGCCGGTGGGCAGGCAGGGAGGGAGCCCTCTCCGAGGAGGGGCATCTCAGCCGAGACCCGAGAAAGTCACCTTGTACGACCGGGCTGAGCCTTGGGAGCAGGGGGTCCACACAAACACAGAAAGTCCGGGCAGGACCCTCAGATGCACTGGACGCTCCGAGGGAAGAGCCTCACTCAGCCTGGGGACCCTGGAGGCTGCTGGGTGGCAGGGGGTGGGGGCGCCCCATCTTTTTAAAGATGAATAAGAGGTTCTCAGACAGAACCTGTTTTCTTCCCCCTCCCTCTTCCCCCCTCCTCTCCCTACACTTGACTCCTGGCCTGTGGCATTGCCCAACAGGAGTTGAACACGTATTTCTGTCTGTTCCTCCGGAGTTAATCAGGGTCCCAAATACCTATCGGTGTTTGCCCTTCGTTTGTCTGCTTGGAGGGGTCCGTGACCCCCTGCCTAGATGGGAAACCTGGAGGTCACAGAGGCTAAGTGACTCCCGGGTCACACGGTAAGGGGCAGAGCCAGGAGTTCAGGCTTTGGGTACGCTGTCCCCTCCCCTCCCCCCACGCAGAGGGCAGGGCCACGTGCCTGGCGGAGAGCGGGCACCGACCAGACCCTCTGGGTACAGAGGCTGCTGTCGGGTGGCCCCGGGCCACAGGGGCATCGCCGTCTCTCCTGTGGGGTCAGCTAACTCTGGAAGAGCGTCCTGGTCTTCTGCTTACCAGCTGTGTGACTCTGGGCCAGTCACTTACCCTCTCTGAGTGTCAGGGCCTCGTCCACAAAACAGGACGAGTGACACGCACCGAGATCACGTTTGAGAGGCCTGTGTGGGCTCCCCTTCCCCTTTCTCCCGTGATCCGTGCTCAGGGTGACGGTTCTGATCCTCAGAGAGCATGACCCTGCACCACACAGTCTCCTACAGTTGGTCCCACCACAGCCCATGAGGTATGTGCTCTTGTCACTTCAAGGTGAAAGAGACCAAGGTTCAGAGGGGTGAAGTCACTTGCCCAGGATCACACGGCGTGGGGGAGGAGGGGTGGAGCCAGGATCTGGTCCCTACGGTATCCTTCCCTTTGTCACCGCGGCTGTCCCCTCTGGCCACACCTCTAGGGTCGGCCCTGTCCCCCTGTCTGGCTGTCGGTCCTTCTCAATGAGCAGGGCTGAGTCGGGGCTGGAGGGGCCATCCGGACCCAGAGGGCACAGCCCCTCCCCGCTCAGGGACACTCTTCTCGCAGCAGGGACCAGGACTGCTGGGGCGCCCCCTGCCCCGACTCACCGGCCCCTTCTCTCGCCAGGTCCACGACTATCTGCGGAGCAAGCTCTGTTCCCTGTACGAGAACGACTGCATTTTCGACAAGTTTGAATGCGCCTGGAACGGCAGTGACAGGTAACCCCCAACCCGGGTGCAGCGGCCCCCTCGCCAGGGAGCGCCTCGGCTGCTGGCCTGGCATCCTGGGGAACTCGCTGGTGATGAGCCTGATGGATGAACGTGTGGGAAGCGGCCCATCCGTTCTTCCAGCGCCCACGAGCTCTCAGCCCTCACAGGCCAGGGCAGGAAACGACAGCCAGGTCACAACCTGTGACCACACCTGCCGTCCACTTGGACCCCCCCCCCCCCCCGGCTCCGAAGGGATAGTGGAAACAGTCGAGGCCGGGGCCCTAGCCACACACATCCCCAGGCTGTCGAGGATGAGGGGTGTTCCCTGGACCGCCACGGGTGGGGGCAGGGAGAACTTTGGCCTCTGCTCCACACCCTCCCTCCGCCCCCATCATGGCTGCACCTGCCTCCCTGGCGGCTCCCCTACATCGGGCCCCCCGGGGCGGCGGGCACATCACAGCTCCGCACCTCTGGGGCTGGCAGGGTCCCCCAGGCCCGGCCACATCTCACAGCCCACCCACCCGGGAGATGGCCCGATGTGAGTTCCTGTTTCCCTGTTGCTGGCTCAGCCCAGGGCCGGCGTGGACGGGAAGGCCCAGCACAGGGGCCCAGGTGACCAGAAAATGCAGGATACAGACCATACTGTGTCCCAGAGCACTGCCCGTCACGTTTTCACAGCCCGAGCAGGCCCGGCGTCCCCTCCCTGTCCTGTGGTCCAGCGCGGTGCAGGGGGGAGGGGTGGTGTGCGGGCCAGCAGCCTTTGGTTCAAATGTCGTTCAGGGCCGTGCATCCGTCAGGTGCTGCCGCGGTCAGGGGAAGAGCTTCTGTGATGCGACAGGCACGCTGGGACCCTAGGATGGGGGTGGTGAGGAGGGGCCAGGAATCGTGGGGCCGGGGCCGGGAGGGAGCTGCCTGCATGTAGGCTGGCCCCACATGGGGCTGAGCCGCCGGGTCCAGGGTGGGGGTCCCCTGGAGCTGCTGCTGACATCCCGGGGGCTCACCTGGCTCAGCTCTCAATCGGGGACCAGCGTGGGGGTCACAGGGGCTCAGTTGGATAACAGTGAGAAGGCTGGCTTGAGGCCAGGCCGACACAGCACTCCTTCCGGGTGCTGCACCCAGGCTGACCCCAGACACCCTCAGGGAGGACGGGGCTTCTGGGATACCCTGAGCTTCAGACCCTGACACATTGGGGGTTCCCCAGCGAGCACTGGCCGTGGGTCTTGGGGTGGGGGCTGTCAGAATCTCAGGAGAGGGACTTACTGCTGGCCACGGGGGAGTGTGTGTGTGTGTGTGTGTGCGTGTGTGTGTGTGTGTGTGTGTGTGTGTGTTGGGGGCCGTCTCCCCTGGCCATGGCCAATGCACGCCCTTCATCCACATTACCACCAGGGGGCGCTCGTGAACAGGTGACGTCTGGCTCCCAGGGACAGGAGCCGCCCAGCTTGTCCTGGTTGGAGCTCAGCTGTCCTGCCTCTTACGAGCCACTTCCTGCCACGCATTTAACATACCAGCCACCCCCCTCCCCGGCGGTCCCGCGCTTCCCTGTATTGTCTCCCCCCTCCACAACCGCTCTGCTCCTGCAGCCTGGAATCCTGGCCACACTGTACCTAGCTCACTCCTGTCGCCTCAAGTTACTACCGACCCAACTCAAGGCCACCTCCTCCAGGAAGCCCTCAGGGCCCTCTCCACCTTGGCCCCGAGCCTCCTGACTTTTCCGCCCGTGTCTTGGCACTTTGCGTGTTTTCTCCTTGCCTCTGCCTTCCCCGTGGGATGGGGTGCCCTTGGTGGGGGGGGGGGTGTGACCGTGGCTCAGCCCATCCTAAGCAGCTCACTCCGCACCTCAGGGGTGTCTAGTCAGTGGCTATGACACTCTGGAGGGCGCAAGAGTGTGCCACCTCCTTCCGCTTCATCCCGAGCCCTCCTCTGAGCCCGTCGTGGTGGGTGGAGGACGGTCCCTGCCTCCCAGGAGCTCAGAGCTGAAGGGGAGAAGAAGCGCTGCCCTCCAGGACCCCCGCTCGTACAGACCAGACCACCCTCCGAACTCTGCAGGCTCAGCTGAGCTATCCCTCTGCTATCCGTGGGGAGCCCATGTGCCCTGTTGCCCAGATGGCAGCAGAGACCTGCTGGGGTCTGATGGCCCTCACGGTGGCCTCGTACCCAATGCCAGCAAGAGCAGCGGCCTGGTGTAGAGGGAAGGGCCGGACACCCTCGGGTTCCGGTGCACGCTCCCCCACCCTCCAGTTGTGTGCTCGAATTAGCCCCCGAGCCTCCTGAGCCTGCCCACCTGTCCCCTGGAGCATGGTTCTAATCAACCATGACCTTCCAGGGCTGTTTCGAGGCTGAAAGTCCACGAGTCAGTATCGGCCATGGAAGTTCGGTTGAGCCTCCAATTTCAGCTCAGGTCGCGATCTCACGGTTCGTGAGTTCGAGCCCCGCGTCAGGCGACTCTGTCCCCCTCTCTGCCCCTCCTCCGCTTGCACTCTCTCTCTCTCTCTCCAAGATAGATGAATGTTGGGGGGGGGGAAAAAGAACCCCGCTGAGCCTCCAAGACCCACCTCAAATGCCACCGCCTCTAGGAAGCTCTCCTTGATCTGTTCTGCCTAGGACAAAGGGATTTGCGTCAACCGAGCGTCTTCCTGTTGCAGAAATCAGACCAGCCTCAGCTTGTTCTGAGAGGTTCCAGGCAAGGGTTCCCCAGGGCTCAGGTGTACCTTGGGGCCATCTCTTCCCTGTCCTCATCTCTGTGCCTCCCTGCTTCTCCTTACACACTAGCCTCATGCTCTGCTGCAACGCCCTGTGGCTGGCAGGATTGCCCTGCCATTGACCTCACAGCCCGCAACCCTCCCAGGGTCTGGGGTCTGATTGGCTTCGTTTGGGTTACATGCTCACTTTGGGAGCCAATCAGCAAGGACACGATTATTGCAAGCCATGATCAGCCAGCAGGGGGTGCATGGAGCCCTGTGCTTGGCAGTCCCTCGGCTGGCCGGATGGGGGCAGAGAGCCCTGGGGACGGGAGCGGTGAGATCGGCATCCCCACGTGCAGAGGAGGAAAATGAGGCTAGCAGAGGTGAAGCGACGTGCCTAGACACAATCCAGGGCAGGGGCTGCCCTTTCCTCTGCTAAGGGAACCTTCTGGAATGTAAGAATGCAAGCAGTGGGCCTTTCTGTCCTGGAGTGCTTTGCAGGGTGCTGGGACCTGCTGTCCTGAGATGAAAGGGACCCTTCTCCTTGCAGGCAGGGAGGGGGCCCCCTCTCTCCCATGTCCCAGCCTGATTCTGCATCTTAACGGGAGGAGGATTAGCAGTTGGGCGGGGTTGCCAATGACTTCAGTGACCCCACTCTCCCTTCCCCTGGTGGATCCGAAGGACAGGCGGTTGCGTGACTGCACTCGCTGGTTAAGTGAGCAAAGCTGGGCTGCTGTCCCCTCTTCTCTGCCCTTGCTGGCCTGGAGGGAGGGTGTGGCCTCTGGCAGGGCCTTTCCCTGAGAATCTTTCCTTTTGCTTCCTCAGTTTGGGTGTCCTGCCTCAGGCTTAGCCGGTGGGACTTCAGGCCAGGAGCATGATTAGAATCAAGGCATCTAACATAACGGGGGGGGGCCCGGGGGGGGGTTCCCGGGCCCAGTACTGCTCTGTTTTACTGAGACTCCTGGTCCATGCTCCCCAGAAGCTGGGCTCCCTTGTTACCCCCATTTTATTGATGTTAGGGGCAGAGCTAGAATTTGGAGCCAGGTGGGCGAGCCCGAGCACCTGCTCCCAATACCTGGGCTTGGGGCGCTCCTTTGCCTTGGAGGCCCAAGTAAAGCAGGTGGGGAGAGAAAGGCCTCTGTCCTCACTTCTTACGGGGAGGCCAGTGTCCCAGATCGCCCAGCGCCTGCCGCGGCCACGCCCAGTTCCTGATCCCAGGCTGAGCTCCCTGGCAGCTGCTCTGGGCCCAAGGAGGGGAGGCCTTGGCCCTGTAGAGATCTCAGAGTCCCATCCAGCGTGGGTGTTGGTGCCCCGGCCCCAGGCTGCCGAGTGCAGGCTGGTGTGGGTCTCATGAGCCTCCCCAGTGGGTCTGCGGCCAACAGGTGATCCCTCTTCTCCGCAGGCTCTGGGAATGACTGCCTAATAGGGGCAGCCCCGTGCAGGGCGGGGGCCACAGGGTGAGGCCAGATGAGGGCAGGGGTGCCCCAGCTGCTCACCCTGGGGGAGGGAGAGAATCTTTTCTCTCTTGCTGCCATCTCAGCAGCGTCACCTGAGTCCCAGGGCTGGGCACGGGGGTGACAAGTAAAGAAGGGCGGAGGAAGGAGTGAAAGCAGGAAGCACCTTCTAAGTAAAGCTTGGGGCCACGGGCATCTGGCTCAGTGGCACTTCCTGCCTGTGCGTGTCCTGGGGGCCTCCTGGCAGGTGGGGGCCCTCCCCCGGACCCAGCGCCTGACACCAATGGATACCGGCCGTGCGAGTGAAGGGGGGGCGTCTGGCAGGGCCACAGGCGGGTCCCCCCCTGGTCTGCTGAGCCGGACTGGTCTGATGGGCTGCTGTCCTGGGCCGGGAGGTGAGAGTTCGTCCCAGCCGGTGACCCCCGAGGTCTGAGCATCCCCCTCTGCGGGGCACGTGGCAGAGCTGTGCCCCAACTGTCCGTGCAGGTGTCAGCCTGGGAGCTGCAGATTCCAGTTGGCGTCCCCGAGGGCACAGGGCACCAGGAACATGGCAGAGATGGGACGCAGTGCCTGCCTAGGAGGACTCTGTGGTTTACACTGCATGGACTAAAGCAGAGACCGGAGGGGGGCCCTGGGCAGGGGGAGAGAGGGTGGGGGCCCTGCAGGGGAGGGGGCCGGGGGTGGCCTCCTGGACGAGGTGCTCTCAAGTCTCAAGAAAGCGGTAGGAATTTGCCCGCGGAGCGTGGCAAGGCATTGGGGCAGAGGGAACAGCATGGCCGAAAGCTCAGGAGAAAGAAAGAGCAACTGATGTGGCCACAGCTTAGCGAGTTGTCTCAGGTCAAAGTGTCCTTGGGCCTCCCTGGGGTGGGTGTCGTGGGAGAGTCTAGCATGGGGGATGGGGGGCTTAGGGACCGAAGCAGGAAGACCAGTGAGCGAGCCGTCGCAGCCGTCCCTCTGGGCCAGAGGTGAGGGGGATGTGGGCGGTGAAGGTAGAGGGGGCGGGCTCAAGTCAGGCCACCTACCTTCAGGTGACCAGAGGATGCACAGGAGCCGGGTCGTGTACACCCTCGGGGGCGGGCACGGGGGTTGGGGGTGCCCCATACACCACCCACCGCGGCAGCCTGGAGCCTTAGAGCAAATGTCCCACCCTGTTCTAGAAAGCAAGAGATGAGGTGCAGAAACTCCCAGGAGCTGTCACCTCCCCGGCTGCGTGGGCCTCTGACTGTGAACAGGTCACGTTGTCCCTGAGTGTCTGCTCATTATTATAAGAGGTAGCCACGAGCCCTGTTCCCAGCAGCGCCCCTGCTCTTGGGCCTCGGGACTCTGGCACTGGGCCGCACGGCGGCCCCTCACGTCCCCCCAGCCTCGGCAGGTCACCCGGCCCCCAGCTCTGTCTTCCAGCCACGTACACACGCTCCACGGGCTGAGCTGCCGGGAGCCGCCGGCACCTGGATGGACTCCAGTGGGCTCCCTGGGGCCTGATGTTGGGAGTGAGCCTTTCCCCCCGAGAACAACTCTGGGTCTCTGACTCTGTTGCCCACTTTCCTTCCCACGGCCTGGTCTCAGTTCCGAGTTGCAGGTTAAGAGGGACGCATTTGGCTGCTGGCCTGGCCTCCTTCTGGGAGGTGGGAGTGAGAGGGCCTCTCCCAGCATGCACCTGCGACATGCCATTTCTTTGTCTCAACAACAAAGGGATTTATTCACAGGGATGAAGGTTTGGGGGGCGGAGTTGTAGAACACAAGAGAATAGGGCCAGAGAATACTTTGGGATTCTCCACCCACCCTCCCCTCCCCTCCCCTCCCCTCCGGAGATTAGACAAACCTCCAGAGAAGCAGAACTGCTCGACTGCGCCCCTCCCCCAAGCCCACCCCGACGGCTCTGCCCCCACAGCCGCAGAGAAGCCCCTCCGCCCACTGGACTGTGTCCCAGGTCAAGTGCAGAGGGGTGGCTGGGCAAGGCCGCTTCGTGCATTTCTAGGACTTGGGAGGGTGGTTGGGAGGGTGGTTGTGAAGGGTTGTGACCCTTCCGCCGAATTCATTCATTCATTCACTCATTCACTCATTCGGCTTAGAGAGCACCTGCCGGGGGGGGGTGGGGGGTGGGGGGGGGGAGGTACCTTCTGAACTTGCAGGTCTGGCCGTGAATAAGAGAAGGTTCTGGCCCTTCGTTCCCTACCATTTACGAAGCATTTACTGCCTTCTCTGCAGGCACCAGGGGGCTTGGCTTGGTCTGGTTCAGTGTGGCTGCTGCTGAGGGCCAGCTTTCGCTGCCCCGATGAGGCCAAGCCAGGGCTTGGGACTCTGAGGCAAGACAGGCCTGCCCCAGGAGCCCCCACCCGGTGGTGGAGACAGAGGCAGCACAGAAGCTTGCGCACGGTTTTTGGAGCAGGTGCCTCAACACGCCAGCATGCCCTCTGGCTTCTGACCAGGTTTCACCAGTGGGGACCCTGGGAGGGAAGCAGGGAGGGAGAGGGTGTTTGTCCCACCTCCCTCCCTGTCCTCTCAGTGGACTATGCCCCGGTCAGCCAGCCCCTTCACACAGATCTGCCACTCTGTCTCTGTTTCTCTCACCTTTCCCCCTCTCACCCCTCAGGCCTGGGGGATGGTAACAAAATCTCCAAACGTTCCAGCCCCGGGGGCACGGCACTTTCCCTGTGGTTCCCTTGGAACCTTCCAGAACATTTGGGCATAGCTCCTTTGTGGAGCTGGTCTCCAGTCACCCGGTTGGCCGGCACCCTCTGCCCTCTGCTGGGATCCAGGTGACCCCCGCCTGGCTCTGCCTGGACACCCCTGGAACGTGGCAGACGAACCGCTTTATGGAGGTTTTCCATGCTCATTGTCCCCGAGCGCCCACCCACTGATCTCTGAACACAAGGTCGGACAAAGCGGTCCGGGCGTCGGGGGAGGGACACCAAATGCTAACTTGGCAGGTCGCGGGCTCTGGCGGGAAGCGTCGCCTCACGGGCGCAGGCCATCCCCGGGAACCGCATGTGCAGGGCGGGCAGGGGAGGCCCGGAAGCCGCTGTCAGTGGGAACATAAAGTACTTCCCTCAGAGGAACTGTTGGCCCGGACTTGCCAGGACCCAAGACTACAAGGCCCTTCCTGGAGAGGATCAGAACTCCGAGGGGCAGGGAGGCAGCGGGGCCTCCCCACCGCACGACCCCGCCCCTCCTAGAAGGGACTGACCTTGAGAGATGGCCCACAGGCGAGGTAACTGTGACACCGAATCACAGCTGGTCCGTTCCGTGCAGGCCCCGGGAGGCCGGCTTCCCGGTCTCGGGTAGAGATGCAGAGGCTGGGGCCTCGGGTGTGTCACGTTCAGCCCGTGACTCAGCATCACCCGGGCCCCTGAGCCATGCCAGGAGCATCTGACCTCCCACAGCCCAGGTGCCTAATAACAGAAGCTCTCCTGGTCTGTCCAGGTGGACCTCGGCCTTGAACATTTCCTGCTCCCCTGCACTGCACTGTCCCCCTGACTTGGGGAAATGGAGACGTGGAAAGTGTGCACAACCCGTGTTCACCTAGGGGGCCGCGGGGCTCTGTCTCAGAGCAGTGACTCCCCAAGAGACACGCTCAGCTTCCGAAGGGAAGACAGGAATCCCAGTCTGTATGCACCTCCCCTGAAGGACGTGGAAGGGGACCTTGTTTCCCAGAATCCCCTCCCGCCTCCCCGGTTATTTTGCCCCCCTCCCCCACCCCCAGCTGCTCCAGAGACTCTCCTGGGCCAAACCCCAAAACCCGCTCTGTAGGCCCAGGCCCCGATCGCTGGCCTTCTTGCCACACAGACCACATGGCCTTTCTCCCAGGCCCCAGGCACCCCTTCTCCTTGGAGGGGGGAGGGAGAAGGAGTGGATGGACAAGGGGCAAATTCCCTTTAGCAGGACAGGAAAGTCCGTGAACATCTGCACATGATTTAGTCACCCAACTACTCAGAACAGGAAGGTGCTGGGTCCCTGCCGTGAAGGGCGCGTTGGGTCAGTTCAGGGGCCTTCCCTCTGCTGGTGCCTGGAGGTCTGGCCAGGCCTCTCCTGGACAAAGGGGAAAGTATGGGAGAAGTTTCTTTACGATGTCTGGGGCGGAGCATGAAGGGGTCTCAGCCCCTGCCCTAGGGCCGCCTGGGTGGTTCACTCAGTTAAGCGTCCGACTTCAGCTCAGGTCATGATCTCACAGTTTGGGAGTTCGAGCCCCGAGTCGGGCTCTGTGCTGACAGCTCAGAGCCCGGAGCCTGCTTCGGATTCTTTGTCTCCTTCTCTCTCTGCCCTTCCCCCGCTCGTGCTCTGTCTCTCTCTCTCTCTCAAAAGTAGACATTAAAAAAAAAAAAATTTTTTTTTTTTTTAAAGGGTCTCAGCTCCCGGCCTTGGATCCTACAGGCAGATGGTAGCTGAGATGTGGGGGAGGACCAGAGCCCAAGGGGAAGGTGGGACCGGGGCGGGGGGCCCACCCCAGGGAGCGAGGTCCTGCAGCCCCCGGGGTGGTTACTTGAGGTGTGGCACGTTTCTTCCCTGTACCCTGCCCTCCCCCAACCCGCCTGACGCCTCTCCTTCTCCCGCCAGCGTCATCATGACCGGGGCCTACAACAACTTCTTCCGCATGTTTGACCGGAACACCAAACGCGACGTGACCCTGGAGGCCTCGAGGGAGAGCAGCAAGCCGCGGGCCGTGCTCAAGCCCAGGCGCGTGTGCGTGGGCGGCAAGCGCAGGCGGGACGACATCAGCGTGGACAGCCTGGACTTCACCAAGAAGATCCTGCACACGGCCTGGCACCCGGCCGAGAACATCATCGCCATCGCGGCCACCAACAACCTGTACATCTTCCAGGACAAGGTGAACTCTGAGATGCACTAGGTGTGTGCGGAGCCCCGTCGGGGACGCAGCCGTCTGGTGGCACGGCTGGGAGCGCGTCCCTCCCTCCCGGTCCCCAGGCCGGGCCGCCGCCGCTGGCCGCTGTTTGAAAACGGGAGGAAGGAGGGTTCACTGAAGCCACAGACCGTAACATGGACGTGACCGTCGCCTCGGGGATCAGGCCCTTCGTTCGTTAACCGCGTGCCGCCTGTCCCGATGTTAGGACTTTGTCATTTCCAGGATCACTTTTCACTCCTTCCAGCAGCAACTCGCAGGGGACAGCAGGCACCCCGGGGGGCCTCACGGCCCCCCCCCCCACATAGGGGCTTTGGGGACCAGACGACGGACTCAAACCAGCCAGCCAGGATTCTTTTGATTACAGACGGAGCAATTTCCACGGTCTCTGAGCTGAGGGTCATCCCTTTGCCTTTTGGATCGTGGATTCGTGCTGAGAACAGACAGGTGCGAGATCCACTTTTAGGTTCTTGCAGTGTCTTTCAGTCCCCCAAGTCTGGCGTTCCCAGACAGGAAAGGGGACAGCGAAAGCCACCCGTGCGCGTGTGTGCCTGTTCTCACCGTTGCCCCGGCCTTTGCTGAGCGTGGGCCGGGGGGGCCAGGCACGGCGTTCGGCCCTTCACGCGTACGGATCCGGTCCCCACTCTGCGGGGCTCTCCTGTCGTGCTTCATGGTCATTGGGCCCCTCGAGGGAGCTCACGCGGCTCTGTCCATGACCCATTCGCTTCCTCCACAAACACCAGCCCCTCACAGAGTGCCAGATGCCAGGGATGACAGGTGACTAATTTATCAGCCCCACTCGACGCGCGAGGACGCTGAGGCCCCGAGAGAACGAAAACAGTTTGGCCAACGCACGTCCTGACCGAGTGGTGGAGTCAGGAGTCCTGAGCCGGTCTTCACGCGCACCGGGCCCTTCCCAAGTCCACCACGCTGGCGGCTCGTGTTAAAGCAACGTTCTTGCCTGGAAGGTTCTGGAAACATTATCTTCATCTTGTGAAGCGGGACAGAGCGGATGGGCCATGACGAGGGTCCGGGGAGACTCGAGCTGCAGCACGGAGTATGGAGAAGGCCCCCGTGGTGCCAAGCTCTGTGTGGTGACTTCAGACCCCCGCCCTCTGTGGGGCACCTCGCCGCGCCCCCCGTCTGTACCCCAGCCCCTCGTTCAGGTGCACCGAGCTGCCTCCGAGGAGATTGCATGTTTTGACCATTTCCGGATACATCTTCTTTAACGGCCTGGCCCGTGTCTCCATAGCACCTGCTCCTGCCCCATGGACGTGGAGACCAGCTCCGCCCACCCCACCCCGCCCACTTGTCCTCTGCACGGAATGACAGATGACGGGGAACCACTGGCTGGGCGTCCTGATTCAGGAAACCGAGTGCAGAGGCCGAAGCCAACATTTTTTTACAGGGTGTAACCCAACCCAGGAAACAGACCCACCCGAGGTTTTTCTCAGTGGATAGTGGTGTACTTTTCTGTGCATCAAAGCACAAAACGCATGTGCATTCACTTCTGGCCATATGATATTTACACAAGGAAATGGGTCCATCGTTCCTGTTTTGTTTTTTTTTTTTAAATCAACATGAATGAAGAATGTTTGTTTGTATATCACTGTAAAATCCAGGTGACCTGGACAGTATTATATGTACATATCTATTCTAATTGAAATTAACAATCACTGGATTGGATTCCTCTTTTCCCCCCTTTGTAAAGAGGTTCAAGAATGTGGTAAATTGTATAGAAATCTTGTCGAAGCCAAAATCCAGCTCTGAGGGCCTTACACAATTACACGGATATTTGGCACAATCCCCTTCCCTTTGTGATTCGGATGCTGAGGGGAGACTCGAACTGCAGCGAGGACTTACTGTCAGAGCGTAGATTTCACACTTACCCGTCTACACAGTACCACTCTTACACTGCATTCAAAAGGAGGTCTTAATACAGTTCCTGGTTCCTTACTTCTGTGTGAAGCTTTGGATAGCAAACCAAAAAAGGAAAAGGAAGAAAGATCCTAGAGGAAAAGCATGCCTTCAGATCCCTGGAAAATCGTGATGTCCAAAGCAGGTTATGAACGACACATGTTGTGGGGGAGGGGCAGGACTAGCCGCGGCAGACAGACGGGCCAGTAACATAGTCACAAACTCGGCTGCTTCCTCTGTTTAAATTTTCTGCTCTTCTTAAATGTATGGGCATTCACCTAGTCCTTGTGAAGTTGTTGGGTGGTTTTTGTTTTTACTCGAATACTCTGAGGACTGAAGTCTTGGTTGGTGTTGGACGTGTGGTAGGTAGACAGACCTGATCACTTTGGATTCTGTAGCTCATGGGTGCATTCTGGTTTCATTCGGTATCTCGGATTATCCGACTGTTGAATAAAATTATAAATATGTTAATACCAGCTTTTTCCAATAAAATAACAAACGTTACATCGAAAATGGGACTTGGAGTGCTGGTGGTTTCTAGTGAGGCCAACCCTCGGGGGGGGTGGGTGCCATCAGGAGGCAATATGGCGGACGGGAAAGGCTGGATCACGTCAAAGCTTTGCTATCTCTCTCTTTTTTTTTTTTTTTTTTTTAATTTTTTAAATATTTATTCATTATTGAGAGACAGAGAGCCAGAGCATGAGTATGGGAGGGGAGCCTGGGAGGAGAGCGACCACAAGCCAGCTGGTTTGTTCTGGAAGCCAGGGTGGCCCAGCCTGGTGTGCCGCGGTGGCTGAGAAAAGCCAGAAGATGTGTGAGGACCCCCCGCCGTGGTTTCCCCCCCGCACCCCTCCTGGGGGCCAGGCCTCTCCTTTCCACCTTCCAGAGGGCATTTTATACTTCAGACTCAGCAAGAGGAAGGCAGGTGCTGTTCTAGCGGGTCCTGCTGGCGGGGCTTTCATTGGCTGAGCTCTTTGTCAACCACACGGCCCCTGGGCAGAGCTTAAAGGAGAAAGCTGCTCCCAGGCTGTGCGGCCTTGGACCCGGGCCGACCTCTCTGAACCACCTGGGTAACTAGAGGGCAGTGCCGGTCCTTCTCAGTGCTGTTGGGACGACTGATGAGATACACAAAATACTTAACAGATCCTGTGGTACCGCTGTCCCGGGACGGTCCCGTACTGTCTTGATTCTGGGCGTTACCTTGTCTGACCTGCCTTTCGGCTTCATGCCAGCCCTTTCGCAGGGGAAGGGGGGAGCGGGTACTTCTGCCTTACCCGTTTTACATACGGAGAAACTGGGGCTCGGAGAGAGGAGGGGGTTTAGCCTGCGCCCAAATTTCTAGCAACACCAAGCGGTGACGTCTGGATTCAGACTCTGATGGCGAGTGGCACGTGGTCAGGGACATCGCGGCCTCAGCCCCACCCCGTCCAGCTTCAGCGAGCACTGACTACGCACCAGCCCGGGACTGTGGCCGTGTGACCTTGAGATGACAGGTTATCCCCAGCCATCAGGCAGCCCGATCTGTCGAGTGAGTCCTTGTCAGCAGAGAACCTCAGAGGGAGAGGAGACCAGGAAGAGGGGGTCAGATGCGGCAGGAGGGTCCCGTCTGCCATCGCTGGGTGTGGAGGTGGGGGAGGGGACGGGCCTCAGGCCCGAGAACGTGGGCGCCTCCAGAGGCTGGCAAGGGCCAGAGTGGATTCGGCAGGACACAGCCTTGCTGACACCTTGCTGATGGCCTGACGGGTGGTTTATTCCTCACTGACTCCCGGAACCACTCTGAAGAGCTGGTCCTTACCGTCTTGATCTCCCAGAGGAGTTATCTGGGGCCCAGGAGATTCAGGGCACGTGCCCAAGGCCCACCGCCCATATGGCCATGACCACATGGACCCCAGCTCTGTGCCAGGGACTGTGGCCAGCCCTTTGCGTTTATTTCAGCCACAGTAAACCCCCGTGGCAGGTACTCTTGCTGCTTCTGTTCTAGACACGAGGGACTCCAGGCTCAGAGAGGTTAGGGAGCTGGCCCAGGACCACACAGTAAAGGCAGAGCTGGAACCCAGCTCTCTGAAACGTCTGTCCTGTGCAGTCGTAGGTTCCGGAGCTGGCATCTGACCTCATTCTGTCTTGACCTCAGCGCCCTGTTCTTCTGGCATCGACACCCCTGAGGCAAAGGGGGGTCGACTGCGTGCAGCCTGCAAAATCTGGAGAAAGCTTTGTGATCTCTACCGGCACTGGATTCCTTCTTGACACGCCACCCGAAGTTGCTGGGTGGTAACTTCTGCTACTCTTCGCTGAAAAGGAGCGTTGTTGCTGAAATTCGTGCAGCTCCATGTTTGGACCTAAACATAAAGCCTTTCAGGTTGGCAAATGCCTGGAGAAAGCTTGTCCGGGGGTCAGAGCCGCTGTAAGAGCCGGGGGTGGGCGGTCTGGGTGGAGAATCTCGCCGCGGTCAGGGGACGGACGTGCACTCCCTTCTTATCTCCCCCAGTCAGTCCTGAGAGGGACCCGTGAGGAAGTAAGGCTCAGGAGTCTGACAAACCCCAAGTCACGGAAACGGTGGCTGGTGGATCGGAGATCTGGGTGGTGCTCAGACGCCTCGTCAAGCAGGGCAGCAGGGAGTCTCTGACCAGGAGGGCAAGTGATCTTGGCAGGAGTGTGGGGTTGATGAGCGTACCAGGGGCCAGCGTAGGTGGCACCACAGCCACTTTCAATGTAGCTTCCCTCTGGGCTGACTTGGGACGTTGCTGCGGCCCCATGGGCAGAAAAACCGCACTTGCCTTAAGCTTCATGAAAGTAAACTGAGTCAGGAGTGATCAAAACACCTAGAAAAATACGATTGATTCAAATAAAGGGAAAATGGGGGCCACCCTCCTTGGCCGACGAGATTCAAGGGCACCTGGGGACTTCTAAGGGGGTTGGGGGAAAGATTCTGAAAGAGATGGGGCTGCTGGCCTGGGGATGGGCTGAGGGCACAGCCACACGAGACCCGGGTTTAATCTCAGGCTTCTCACTGACCAGCATTGAGATTGTATCTGTCCTCTACTGCCGGGTAACAAATGGTCCCCCAATGTAGCAGTTTGAAACAACAGCATGTGTTACCCCATACAGTTTCTGAGAGTTGGGAACCGGGCGTAGACGAGCTGGGTGTTTATGGCTCAGGGTGCCATACATGGCCGTCATCTCTGAAGGACTGACTGGGGTGCAGGTTCTGTGTCCAGGCTCGCTTACGTGGCTTGAGGCTTTGGTTCCTTGCCACACGAGCATCTCCCCGGGGCTGTGTGCAGCACGGAGTGCTCACCGAGTAGCCGATCTGAGAGAGAGGGCACCCAAGCCGAAAGCCAGTCTTTCTATAAACTAATCTCAGACGTGCCATGTTTTATTGGTCACATAGCCCGATCTTGGCACCCTGGGACAAGAAGGCGTGGGAGGTGGTGGGGGTCACTGGGGGCCATCTGGAGGCTGGCTACCACAGGGGTCCCAGCAAGCCTCTGCAGGTCTCTGAGCCCAGGGTTCAACTATAAAGTGGTGGCAATTGATGAGGGAGCATGGGACAAGCTGAGGGCACAATACAGGCTCACAGCACCACCCGCCACCCTCTCTCACCGCCCCCCCCCCCCACAGTGAAACATGTGTGATATTCCTCAGACACTTGCGGCTCCCCAAGAACACAGGAAAGGGGTTTAAGTTCTTGCCGTGATGATGTGGGAAACTAAGGCAAATGAAAAATTAAACTCCCTTCCTGCCTACAGCCCACTGGCAAGTCCTTGAAACCAGCCGAGTGACCTCCCTCTGGGAGCTCAGCTGCCTCCACGGTGGCACTTGGCTGGGGGCAAAAGGGAGTCTTGGCTTAACATTATCCTGACTCCCCCCCAGGAACCTGTGAGTCAACTTCAACATATAAAAATTCCTTTCAAAACTTCCTTTATCTCAACTTCCCCAAGATATACGCTGGCGATCATAGTCCAAGCTTATGGCCCCTGATGCACATCTGAAGGGTCTCACGAGTGAGGTTTTACTAAACGGTAATAAATGGCGTTTTCCTATCAACAGCTGGCCCCTCAAGGTCCCGGAAACCTCGCTTCCAAAATTCCTTAGAGACTTACTCTATCCCTGACCCCCTCCCAACCCGAAGGTATCTGATCAGTCACCCGTCACGGCCCCAGGGCAGCTCTTCCTGCCCACGGGTCCCGTCCCCGGGCTTTCATAAAATCATCTTTTTGCACCAAAGACGTCTTCGAGAGTTCTTTCTTGGCCGTCGGCCCTGGACCACCCCACGGTCACCCCCAAACTTCATCAACGATAACACCGATCACACGAGGTGTTTTTGAGAGACTCCAGGTGCTGACATCCACAAGGCCACCGTCACAGCATCTGGCAGGTGCCAGGTGTTCGTAGAGACCTAGTCAGCTGTCTCCCACTTGCTCTGGGCCCCAGTGCCCTCCTCTGGTGGGCTGACATTCTTGGGGGCTCTTCCGGCTCTGTGGAGATTGGCCGGGGGTGAGCTGACCCTGTCTCCTCTGGTCTTGTCCGGCTTGGCTCCTGGTCTCCCGGTGGCTCTCAGCCTCAGGTGTGTTAGCCTCGCCTGGGAGCTCTCCCAAAACCCGTGGCCCAACCCTCAGCATCTCGGGCTGGGATTCGGCATCGGAACTTTTTAAAGCTCATCAGATGACTCCACTGTCTAAAGAGACAGGTTATTCTGTGAATGACATAGGGAAACAGTCTTTCTGCAGAACCATTTGCAGGAAAAGCAAATGATCTATAGATTTACTTAGAGGAAAGCTAAAAACAGCGTGTGGGTCCATTTGTTTTCACCACTTTGGGCAAGGAAGACCCGGTCACCTGTCTTTTTTTTTGCTTTGTTTCACCCAGACTACGTTTCAGAGCCCCCTGCAAAAGTTAACCACTTGAGAAAAACTTTAACAAAGGCTTACCAGCTTCGAGAGTGGTATCCTAGCAACGGAAAAGCTTTTAGAGCTCGAAATAATTGCCCAAGTCGTGAGTGATTCATTTCAACCAGCCATGTCCTTTTTTATTAAAAAAAAAAACAAAAAAAAACCCCCACACACAAAAAAACAAAGCCCCATTATCTCTACCTGGAGACTGTTAGCATTTTGCACAGGGGCCCACGCAGTCAGATGACAGGATGAATTTCACAGAGGGACTGAAAATCTGCAAAAGGCAGCAGCTGTCTTAGGACAAAAATAACAATGAAAATGGAAAGGAATCCATTAGCAAAATTATGCCCGCCCCCCCCCCAAAAAAATCTAAACGTGAAAAATACATGTGAATGTTTGGAGCAGTGAATGAGTCATGTAATTCACCTGTAAAGCCGATGACCGTCTCATTCGTCAATGGGCCGAATAAGTTCACCTGGGAAGGATGCCCATTTCTCTCGGCAAATCTACTTGATCATTCACGCATTCCCTCAGCAGACGTGTTCTGAGCATCTGCTATGTGAGCGGTGCTGATGCACGTGGCTCTGAGCTGGGACGCTGGACCCCAGCCGCTGGGACTCAAATCT